GCAATGTGCATGTGGTGAGTAGTGTATTTATTTATATATGATCTGGGTAGACAGACTGCTGTGCAATAGGTTTTGAATGTGTGGGTCATTTCTGGTCCAAACTAAAGAATGTGTGGGTTATTTCTGGTCCAAACTAAAGAATGTGTGGGTTATTTCTGGTCCAAACTAAAGAATGTGTGGGTCATTTCTGGTCCAAACTAAAGAATGTGTAGGTTATTTCTGGTCCAAACTTTATAATGTGGGGTCAAGACCGTTATGTCACTATTTGAAAACAAATGGATGTCATGATTGCTCTATTGCCGTTGACATAAAGCTACTTTGATTTGTGGAAATGGGCATCTTTTTGTGTTTGAATTGGAAACTGTGGTCAGTTTTCACGAAATGTTTTGTGGTGTGGGTATTCTCCCAAGTTTCTAAACTTGTGTCTGAAAATGGCCCTTTTGAATGTGCATACTGATCCAAGGTATCTAGATTTGAGGCAAATGATATGATATCTGATTAAAATAGATACTAAGAATTTATTGTGTATATTAGCTACATTGTGTTATATACATAAGTTTTGGGAAAGCCATGCTTTAGGATATGGTAAAAACTTGAAAATTTAGTCAGTCTTGGAAATTTTTTCAAAAGACATTTCTCCACTGACATAATTTTTTTCAGTTAGAATATTAAGTCAAACTGGAAAGTGGGCTTCTTAATAATTTTGAAAAGTTTGTCATCTAATATGTCCAAGTCCGCTTCAGTCATTTTCAAATATTATTTTATTTTTAAGTGATGAAATGTTCAACTTTTTACTGTACTTTACGGGCTGCTCTCAGGGCATTTTTTTATATCTTATTGTCATTTTTCACAGCGTGGTATGCATGAAATAATCTGCTTTTCAACATGTAAAACTCGTTTTCACAAGGCTGATTTCCTCGACTAGATTTGGCTGCACCTGGGTTTTTCATTAATTCTCCATGTGTTCTCCATGGATGTGTGAATGTTTGAAAAATTTTCACAGGATCTTGCTAACTTACATCAGGCCCGTAGCCAGGGGGGGTTCGGGGGGTTCGAAAGAACCGCCCCTTTTGCTGGGAAAAGGTCCACTCTGAGTAAAATTTGATCTATGTACATGAAGTTATTATGGGAAAAGGTCCACTTTTTCAGAAAAAGAACCCCCCTTTTGAAATTGCTGGCTACGGGCCTGTACATATTTGTTAAAAGAGCTTTAAAGACAATTATCTGGTTTGACTAATTATTACTTTAAATAGGGGTAAGGGTGAAACACAATTGTGGCATTAAATATGAACATTTAACAGATAATTTCACAGGATCTTGTTAACTAATTTGCTGAAAGAGCTTTAAAAACAATTATCTGGTTTGACTAATTATTACTTAAAATATGAGTTAGAGTGGAACATAATTGTGCTAATACGAAAAAGTAACACATGTATAGAGAGGTTCAACTTTATTTTAGACAAATACAGGACAGACAAGTACAGCACAGAAGTTATTATATATATATATATATTCTATGTTATTGTCTATATGTATCTATTCGCTCTGCCGTTGGTAACATCTGTTGCTCACCCTGTAAATGCTAAAGTAATTTTCTTTAATTTATCAAGTGGCCTAGTGGTCAGAAGGACAGGTTCCTTTTTAAAATCAGCATGGTCAAATTATTTTTATGAAAGTGATTGATTTTCTTTCCTGTATGTATTTTGGTGTCGTTGGCCTCGTAAGTGCCACACCATATTTTTGTTCTCTTTGCCCAATAAGGTCAGAAACCTCGTTATTTTGAATAATTATAAAGTAACCATATGAGCTAAGGTAAATATTTTAACCAAATATTGAAGGAATAATGCACCCATCATTCATTCCTCTTTGAAATTTTTGCAACAAAAGGAACTTTGTGGAAATTACAGCTACCTTTCGAATTTCATTTGCACAAGTCATGCAAATGGAGTGACTGATCAAGTCTTGACAATTGACAGTGGAGATTTCACACGATACTGATGCTGAACAAACTTAAGATTTAATTTTAACTACTTTATGCCTAAAATAAAGATCTTTATTTGATGGTTACTTTACAATTATTCAAAATAATGATGTTTCCGAACATTTTTGGTCAAGTGTGTCACCTTTGAAGTCTAGTTTCTATTTCTCAAGATATCTGAAAACTTTAACCTTCCCTTCTTCTTGCGTAACTACCAAATCGCCATCATGGTTGATGGCCAACGCCCAAGGGTGCCGCAGATCATCATCTCTGGTCACCAAATACTTGACAAAATTTCCCTCCGCTGATACAACATGAATGCAGTGATTATTATGGTCTGCTACAAAGATATTGTTGTACCTGTCTGCACAGACACCGTATGGCTGGCCCTTGTTGTTGTCAGGACCCAGCACTGTGTAGGCGTGCTTTGGCTCACCTGCGTAACTCAGGATGTGGACCTGAATTGGAAAAAGGAGAGAACATAATTAATAAGGCTCTACTGGTTATATCGTCCAGTGGGAAATGAATGGCACAGTCCGGGGCAAGTGAAAATGCTGATGTGATTTGCTTGTCTGAACAGTCTAGTAAATTTAGTTTAAAAATCTTTGCAAGAATTTTTTTTATTTTTTTATTTTTATTTATTTTTATTTTTTTTGGGGGGAGGGGGAGGGGGGATAAGTGAATTTGAATTCTAGACAAAAAGCTTTAGGAGAACAATTACCTGAAAGACTAGTGCCCAAAATAGTACATTTTATTTAGTTCATTTTGTACACAATATTACATTCACATGCCTTGCCACAAAACTGACCAAAATTTCTCTTAATGGCAGCAGAAAAAAGGCTTAAAAACTGCACCCTTTTCAAATTTCAAGTTCTTAAGTTGACCTACTTATCTTTTCTCGAGTCAATTAAACACAGAAGATAAGGAGAAAACATCTGTAATGTACAGTACAATAATCATCTTGCAGGAAATAGCCTATCAAAATTCTGTGGTATTTCTTTCGGTTATGCTATTTGAAACTGCATTGTGGCATTTGGTTGAGTTTAGTGGCAAACATTTGACGTAAGTATTTGCATAAAAAATCTTTAACGCATGGTCCTAATTTTAGTAGTTAATTAAATTGGGGTAACTTTTTTTGGTGTGGATTATACTTTTTTTTAGTTAATCTGATTAAAATTTGCACCCAATACAGCAAGGTGCATTTTATACATTACAACAACCCTAAATTATCAGTTTTTTAAAAGCTTTGTATGTAATATTTTCCTCCTTGGTTGTATTTTAGGCTGTATTCCCAGAGCTTTTAGATCGATCTATCCCCGCGGGGAGTCTCACTAGATAACTGTCAGATAATCCGGCTTAAATGTCCATCCCGCCTACTACAAGCTGTAAGGGGNTCAAGTGTGTGTGTGTAACCTTTGAAGTCTAGTTTCTATTTCTCAAGATATCTGAAAACTTTAACCTTCCCTTCTTCTTGCGTAACTACCAAATCGCCATCATGGTTGATGGCCAACGCCCAAGGGTGCCGCAGATCATCATCTCTGGTCACCAAATACTTGACAAATTTTCCCTCCGCTGATACAACATGAATGCAGTGATTATTATGGTCTGCTACAAAGATATTGTTGTACCTGTCCGCACAGACACCGTACGGTTGGCCCTTGTTGTTGTCAGGACCTAGCACTGTGTAGGCGTGCTTTGGCTCACCTGCATAACTCAGGATGTGGACCTGAATTGGAAAAGGAGAGAATATACAGTGGGAATTGAATGGCACAGTCTGGGGCAAGTGAAAAATGCTGCCCTGATTTGCTTGTCTAAAGTTACATTTTAGTGAATTTAGTGTAAAAATCTTTGCAAGAATTTTTTTATTTTTTTATTTTTATTTATTTTTTTTGGGAGGGGGAGGGGGGATAAGTGAATTTGAATTCTAGACAAAAAGCTTTAGGAGAACAATTACCTGAAAGACTAGTGCCCAAAATAGTACATTTTATTTAGTTCATTTTGTACACAATATTACATTCACATGCCTTGCCACAAAACTGACCAAAATTTCTCTTAATGGCAGCAGAAAAAAGGCTTAAAAACTGCACCCTTTTCAAATTTCAAGTTCTTAAGTTGACCTACTTATCTTTTCTCGAGTCAATTAAACACAGAAGATAAGGAGAAAACATCTGTAATGTACAGTACAATAATCATCTTGCAGGAAATAGCCTATCAAAATTCTGTGGTATTTCTTTCGGTTATGCTATTTGAAACTGCATTGTGGCATTTGGTTGAGTTTAGTGGCAAACATTTGACGTAAGTATTTGCATAAAAAATCTTTAACGCATGGTCCTAATTTTAGTAGTTAATTAAATTGGGGTAACTTTTTTTGGTGTGGATTATACTTTTTTTTAGTTAATCTGATTAAAATTTGCACCCAATACAGCAAGGTGCATTTTATACATCACAACAACCCTAAATTATCAGTTTTTTAAAAGCTTTGTATGTAATATTTTCCTCCTTGGTTGTATTTTAGGCTGTATTCCCAGAGCTTTTAGATCGATCTATCCCCGCGGGGAGTCTCACTAGATAACTGTCAGATAATCCGGCTTAAATATCCATCCCGCCTACTACAAGCTGTAAGGGGATAATTAACTTTCGTGTCCGCTCGGCTGACAGCTATTTAGCGTGAACCCCCAGGGAGTTAGGTCGATCTAAAGTAGATCGATCTAATCTCTGGAAATGGGGTCTTAGTCTTGTCTGGGTAATTTTTGGGCCATATAGTAAACATTTCAAAGCCAGGGTTGTAGTTTGCTTTTACGAGTAGTAGCAAAATAATTTTTAAAGCATGTCTTGTGATTGATTGGCTTCAATGATTGTAACATTGATAAAGTTAAACTGCAATTATATGTAATGAATGTCCATAGTAAGGGAGAAAAAGAAATGCAAAAACAGACTTTTAATAAAAGTTGGGGAAAAAATTAATACCTGAATCTGAGACAAATCTCCGACCACTAGATCACCAGTGGACATATACGCCACTGAATAGGGCCCAGCAAATATCTCCCTGCTCTTGTTTTCCTTAATGGTGGCCGTTTTGGTCAGAAGGCCTTCCGTGTCAACACTGAAAATACTGATGCATTTCTCTGCATGTTGCGCTATGGCAATGTGGTTGTTCAAGTTCAGTGCAACACCCTGAGGGGAATGAATGTCCAGGGACTGTTGTTGTTCCCATTGTGACGTCAGCGACATGACAGCATTGTTGCCGATGTCAGTGACAACTGTGGTGCCATTGGGAAGATGGCAGATGCCAATGGGATTCTTCAGTGGGGTCCCGGAAATGTCAACGATTTCTTTCTTCAGCTTCCCTTGTGAGGTGAAGATGCACAGTTTCCCTGGGTTTTCATTCACGATCACGTACTCGTTATCTGGGCTGACCGAGATACCAGTCTGGAAATTACATCCAGAATCAAACTCTAAGATGCACTCTGCTTTGGCTTGCAGTTTTGGTGAAGGTGGAGGCTGCATGGGAACTTGAACCTCTTCCCAATCGATTTCCACCTTCCCAAAGGCCATTCCTGTTTTTAGGTTGGTCTCAAATTCCTGACTTGTTTTAAGTTTGAATTGTGGTTGATTCGGGAGGCTGTCATCAAAGGATGTGTCTTGGAGATTGTCCAGTCGTTGACTGAGCTCAGGTTTTAAAAGGAGCACTTCCAGGGGGGAACCTTGCTGGAGAATATTTTTAATGATCTGCAGCACATCTGCAAGCAAAGTATGGTTGCCATGGTGATGGTCACGTGACGCAGCCAATATTGCCTGTTGTTTGCAGGCCTCATTATCAATTTCTTCTAGAAGTTGATTTTCTCTAAATAACACGATTTTCCTGAGACCCTCTGCCCTCTGGTGTATAATAGCCTGGATTTTCTTTTTACTCTCCTCAAGCTCTGCCGCCATTTCAGTCAGCCTCGCGACTTTTTCATTCTCATTGTCATGTCTTCTCTCTAAATCCTCCACTTTGTGAAGCAGTTTGGGTTTGATTACTTCAAAAGCTGCGGGAAGTGAGAGAGATTTGTGGTCATCATGGTCCAGTGCCTTGCAGTCCCGACAGATTGGTGTCTGGCAAGGCAGGCAGTAATACTTCAGCAACTGGTCCGTGTGAGTAGCACATGGGATGGCCTGGTTTGCTTGGATCTCTTTTTGGTACTCTGCCAACCCTAGCTGCTGAAATGTGAGGATTTTGTGATCTCTTGTTAGCTTTGTAGCGCAGTGGTAAACTGCACATTGGGAACACAAGTAATCCTGGCAACTGATACATTTTGAAGAGGCATCATTCACCTGAAATGAACCATGAACATTCTTGGTTATAATGGTGAAGAGTGATCAATTTGGTTCTTATTTATTCATTTACTCTTTAATTAAAATTATTTGATTTAGTGATTAATTTATTTCCGTACTACAACATTTTAAATGACTCTGGCCCAGCAGATACAATGTTTGTATAATCCAATAATACTGCAACATACTAACTTTATAAGTGAATTTAGAAGAGACTGGACTTAAGATCGGGTTAAGGCTATGGACAGGGTTAAACAAAAACGCCTACAAGTACATGACTGTCTTTTCATACATATTTGAGATAAAAAATGCAACGTTGGTTTCTCAAATTTTTCCTTTTGCTTAGCACCCAAAAACACCTTTCGATGCCTGTATAAAGGGCTCAAAACTCCGAGACAAAAAAATATTTAAACCCAATTGATGGCCCTGGACTGAAGCCCATATACTTGTTGTCACTTATACCAATTTCCTGATAAGATCTTGTTCAGGGATGAAGTTAACGTCCTATACCTATTGCTAGCTCACCTCAAAATAGAAAGATGTTAAATGGACGGTAAATGCTGTGAGGTGCTTATGCTTAGCAATGAGATATAAAGTTAAGGTGAATGTATTTAATGTTTCAGGGTATTGTTATTGTTATTAAACAGCATAAAGGTAGGCATTATTGAATAATTAGAAAATAATACAGAAAATTAATTAGAAAAACCTAATTTTCATTTTTTTCTATCACAAATCCTGCTTGCTACCTTATTAAGGGATGGAATGATATGTGTTTTGTAAGAATTTTTCATGTTTGATATTCATGAACAGTGAATAATGAAAGTTTTATGATTATTATGTTTCTCAAAAATTTTTATAACTTAAATATATATAGCACTTTGCAACATGTACAGTCACAGTGTTACTGATATGTTAGAAAAGACGTGAACTGAAACAGGATTTTACTATGCCAGTAACACAAACAATTACAAAGTTTCTTGGGGTCAACACATTGTCACTGGAATCATGTGACTGATTTGACAGGCCCTGTTTTTTTTTTTTTTCCCTCGTTGCTTGATATAAAGGATAATATTATTGACATTTTAATCTAGTGTGCACCCCTTCTCCATCATTAATTTCTTAAAATTCTGTGTATAAGGTTTATGTGACTGCATCAATTCCAATTCACTTTTGTTGGACTCCTTAATTAACAGATGACAATTCAATTCACAGCTGCCGCAGTATAGAGGCTTGGTTTATAATCCAGTAATTTAACCCTTTGAAATGTTATCTTATATTTGAATTAACATGAGGTGATATTATGTTAGGATCTCTATACTTAAAGGGGAATTTCTGAGGTCTTTTTAATGAGGTGTACTCATGAGCTGTGAAATATTGACTGAGTTCCTATGTAGGCACCTTTTCCTATATATACTATTGTGTGTTATTTCTCCAAACCCGTATACATTGCCTTTTTTGTTGACCAGCTGTGTGACGTCACGTGCAATCCACCCATCAAATGTCTAGGTTTACTGAACAGATTTTACCATCTTTGAATAAAGTTTGTTGTTGTGGTCGTTGTGGATGATGATGATGATGATGTTGTCTATATGCATATGTACAGTGTATGTATAGAGAAACCTACCTCCCCTCCCTTTTTCACTATTTCACAAACTACACACTTTCTCTGTCCCGAAGCAGGGGATTTGTTGTTCAGTACACCTTCCACATAATAGTTTCTCTTGAATCCTTCCTCCACCTTATCAGCGGGCATTATAACCTCGTGTTTACACACACTGCACTTGAATGGCAGTGCCCGACCCAAATCTCCTTGTGGGAGAGTAGAAGCCAGACAGTGCCTGCAGTATGTGTGTAAACACGGAAGGATGACAGGATCTGTGTACTCCCGTTTGCACACAGGACATTTGAGAAAATCTGAGGTTTCATCTGCTGAGGCGGCTGCATGAGCCCCTATGCCTCCCTTGCTCTCAGAAGCTGCCATTGACTGATCTTCTTTTCTGTATTGTTGTGAACGACCATGACCTCTGTTGACCTGAGATGTTGACCTAGATTTGGCTTTGTGGTAGCATATCTGAGCCTGTAAACAATGGCTGAATAATTGTGCCAAGTTGGATAGATAAGAATCACAGTATCCCTCTCTATGTATATTACAAAACTGTTTTCAATTTATTAATAGATTTATATATCTGTGCTCCGTTTTAAATTGATAAAAATAAATGGCCGTGTGATCACATATAGGCTGCACCTTGACAGTATAACTATTTGGTTTTTTGCTCCAAAGTTATGCATAGAATCGTTTTATTGTATTGATACATGTATATGATTCCAGTTTGCGGAACAAACTTAACAGTTAATCATGATCAGTGGCTATAAATATTATAATATTAAATATTAATAATATATTTATAATTTAAAAAGTCCACCCATTAGCAGAAATTAATTGCCAGGAGTTGATAGAAATTAGCATTTATAATTTTTAATGATAAAAAAATAGTATAACACTACAGTAACTCCTTTTTGAATACCCAGTGCCTACAGCATTTAGTTTTATAGCTCTTTCAAAAGACCATAAATCTTTTGCACTCAGTGGCATATGAAAATCGAGAATGAGCTGAATGTCAATAGCTATACTAATTGCAGTGCTGTGGGCATCAGCTGGTTCTATAGAAAGTACGTGTCCTACATAATGTGTATTTGTTGCCAAAATAGATAGTCTGAAAGGTGCATTCTGTTGATATAACGCACTGCCAAATAAGATATTGAACTTCATCCTAAATTCATTTTCAAAAGTGACACCAAATTAATTATATGAAGTTCAAGACAAATTTGTGAGATTTATATGATGAAGAAAAAGTTATTATTTTGATAAAAAAAATGCTTTCTGTTTGGAACCAACTATATATGGGACTGTATGAATTAATGGTGAGAAAAACACTTGAATCACTCTCAGCCACCTTAATATTATTTTGTACTGTTATATTATGGTAATGGCTTGATCATTTCATCCTGGAAAAATTATTAATTTCACAGATACTGTATTTTTATAAGTAATAAATTCTTAAAATAAGAACATTCCTATTGAGTGGTAGAAACAAAATTGAAAGGCAGAATACTTAATAGTTCTATGCTAAACAGTAAAAACACCAAATTGCTAGAAAGAAATGTATTTTTTAATAATTCCTAAATTATGTATCTGAAAAATTGATAATTTTCCTTGGTTGAAACGATATTGGGGCCATTACCATATGTCTGCGTATTTCAGTTATTCATAGAGACCTCCCACTTAGACACATTCTAAGTAGGGTGTGTTAAGGATTTTGCACAAACATGTTGAACAAGAACTTTGTCCAAATTGTAGTTTGTCTGGCTGACATTGAAACCAAAGCAGATAGAAACAACCAAATTGAAGTGATAATTATTCTCTCTGTAATAATTAACAGTCATTCATTTATTCACAGGCTAAATCTCAGTTTTCATACTGTTAATGAAGAGCTACGGGTTTCTATTTTTTCCTATTTTCTGAGATATTTCTATTTTTCTTATTTTATTAAAAAACAAACTCCAATTTTCTCTAGTTTATGGTATTGAAACAATTTATTGTTTTTTTTTTCTATTTTCTTTCAGCTTCTGACCTTTGACCTACTGCCCAACTTGAAATACACTTTGCAAATATTCAAGCCCTTGTGTCTCCAAACCAAGAGGAAATTCACATATAGTTATTTATAATTGAACTTGAATAAGAAGTCATGTCAAATCAAGACTTTAAAAAATACAAAGGGATATTTTTTCCAAAATATATCTTGAAAAACTGCCTATATTATTTTATTTTATTTTATTTTATATTATTTTATTTTTCATTTCAGTCACCTGGACAGCCAGACATTTCAAGGGTTTCGCAGTGGAGGATATTTCTGTCCACAGTGCAAGAGTAAATACTGTGAGCTGCCAGTAGAATGTAAAGCCTGTGGTGAGTCCATTTCTTCGTTATCCACCTCAGTCTGCCTAATATCCATCTGTTTGTTATCCATCCACCTTTTTCTTCATATCCATCTGTTGTCCACCTTTCTGCCTAATATCCATCTGTTTGTTATCCATCCTCATATCTATCTGTCTGTTTTCCACCTTTCTGTCTGTTATCAATCAGTTTGTTATCCATCCTCATATCTATCTGTCTGTTTTCCACCTTTCTGTCTGTTATCAATCAGTTTGTTTCCCACATATCTGTATGATTTCCATCAGTTTGTTTTCCACCTCTCTGTCTGTTATTCATCAGTTTGTTTTCCTCTTGTCGGTCTCATATCTATCCGTCTGTTGTCCACCTGTCTGACTGACATATATCTGATTGTTATTTACCTGTCTGCCTGGGAGTGGTCGATCTGTTCATCTTCCCCAGCTGGTTTCCATTCTCCCAGCTGGAAAGCTGTTCTCACAGTGCAGATCCCTTCTCCCATCTGGCATAATTCAATCACGTGGGAGAATGACTCAGTGAGATGAACAGCTCAATCTGCCTGCTGTAACAATGCCAAGGGAGGTACCAAATAAAAAGAACTAAACATATTTTTAGAAATTTTTTTTACTTTGTACACAGACACAGAAGTTGATAGTTTTTTTAACTTTTATTGAAGATATTTGATATGAATGCATTCATGCTTCAATAGAAGGTTATGTAATCTGTGTGAAAAATTAAAAGTAGTCGTGAGGTGAGAGGGGTCCGTGCTCTATTTTAATGGCTATTCATGAAGCATCATTTCTTTATATATTTTCTAGGGTTAACACTAGTTTCGGCTCCACATCTGGCCAGGTCATACCACCATTTGTTTCCACTAGAATCGTACAAGGAAGTGCAGGATAAATCTTCAGTTTTGCAGAGGTGAGATGCCTTCATGTGAACCATTTTGTTAAATTAAACAATCAATTTAAGTCACTATATTGCCATTTTTACTCTATTTTTGTATGTAAAAAAATCTACATATATCTTAAGTGTATCAGAGGTGGAGTGGCGTAACTTTTTTTTTTTTTTTTTTTTTAAGAAAATGAAGTGTTGAATTGGTTGACTCAACTTTATTGAACATCTGTAATTAGGCCATTTCAGAATTATGGAACTGTAAGCCAGGATCAGTAGTTATTGCATTGTTAACTTGGACAATATTTTTACAAAAAATGATCAGTTATGAGTATGTATTAAATAAGCCAACCTTCCTCAGTCAAAGGTAAGCCCAGAAACTTAGGGCTTAGTGTGAGACAGATTTCTAAATAAACTGATGGGTTTATTTATTGTAGTTTGCCATCTGGTTGTCAGTCATAATAATATGAATTGAATGTCATGATTTTCTTGAAATTACAAGAATTAGTATAAATACAGCCTGTTGGCCCTTTTATATAAACAGCATTTTGTATTTTTAAATCAAACTGTAACTAATTGAAGATTTTGTTCTGGTTTTCAGTCACTGTTTTTCCTGCCAGACAGAATTCACAGAACATCCCGTAAGTAGAGATTTGTTGAAGGTTAATTATATTTGTAGGTGAAAATTGTTTTTAAAAAAAGAAAAAAAAAACACACGTAGAGAATAGACCTGCTGCGAAAAAGGCAATTGCAGAGACTGTGAAGAGTTACATCAGATTCTATATTTCCTACAAATACTTCTCATCCAAAATTTGATTTGAATACTGTATATACATGTATTTTGTAATCATTTAGATGCTCTCAGTTTGTCTGCCAATAGCTGTATATTTACATCTGTTAACCTTTCAACAAGTGTTATAGAAGAAAAAACGCATATCCCCTACACCTTGAAGGCAATGCATTCCCAGCCCAAATGGTTCAGTTAAGTTTTAAGAGGGTCTTATTGGGAGGGGGGTAATGATCACAGTTCATGGGAAATAAAATTGTCAAAACACAAATAACAGAAAAATAAAAGTTACTCTCTAATATCACAGGGGTCTCAATAGTACAGCATACAAAATTGAAGAATTTTCTAAGAGACAACTGATGTCAGAGAGTAAAAAAAGTTAAAAAAACGTTTAATAAAAAGTGAACATTTGAGTCATATCAGTGATGTTCACAGTTTGTGTAATTTTTGCTTATTGTAACTTTGGCTCCCTACACCCTCTCCCCCACCTATAAATTTTGCAATTTACCCTCCAATATATAAAAATTCAACATTTATTAATTTAAAAGTGTTATAAGATGTTTAAATATTATACACAATGTATGTGTTCTGGCTAATTTATTTATTTAAAAGAGGAAAAAAACTGCTGGTAAAATAAGGATAAATTGCTTTGGGTGCATTGTTCAGTATTTTATTTATGCCTGTTTGTTTATCAGGTGTTGGAATTGTTTAATATGGAAAATCAAATATAAAAAAAAATTCTAATGATAAATTACTTCATCTTGCATTGCAGGTATATGTCTGTGGGCGGTGCCAGAAAGGGTTCTGCATTGACTGCGATGTCTTTATCCATGAAGCTCTCCATTCTTGCCCAGGCTGCTCTGGGTCCCGTCACACACAGGAACGCCAAATCTCAGGGACACTTCTGGCCGGGTTAACAGGGAAATGACCAAAATTGGTCTTCGACACTTGATTGTTGGACCTTTTTGTATAAGAGCAATCCTGCAGGCAGTTTTGGCAGGGTAAACAGAGAACTGACCAAAATTGGTCTGAGACACTTGATTGTTGACCTCTTTCTTTGTATAAGTTTGAGCAATCTCAGGGGAAGCTCTGGCAGAGTTAACAGGGGAATGACCAATATTGGTCTGAGAAACTTGATTGTTGACCTCTTTGTACAAGAGCAATCTGGGAGGAAGTTCTGACAAGGTTAACCGCTCACGTTGGTTGTACAAAGGACATATCTCTGACACTGATCTCTGGACTGGTCAGCAAATAAACAATTGTGTCAAGTCACTCCTTTCATTGTCAACCAGTGTGCTTGCATTTGCTCAGCCAACTGACACCTAGAAAACTTCTGGCAATGGAACAAGTTGTGTCTAAATCTGCTTTGTTGAACTTTTGGCATATGTAATCAATTAATTGACTCCTCGGAAATATTTCAGTTGGCATGGGAATATTCTAAAACATTTCATTATAAGAAACAGTACTATAGATTTGGAAGCCATCACAAAAAAATTATAAATGTTCTCTTTGGTGTCAGCTTGACTTGACATTTTGAATTCATAAGTAGTTGATTGCAACAGACACATTTTCTGCTTGCATCACAAAATGTTCCAATCCTGCTGTCCAAGAGGGAATCTTGATATTCACGTTACCCCCCCCCCCCATAACACATCACTAGTGGGTCAATGGCTAGACATCTGTTGACCATCACTAAAGGCGAAACTCTGGTAATGATTATTGTTATTTTAAGTTGGACCAACAGTGATGTAGCTCAGCCAACGGTTTTAATTCTGTAGACTACCATGAACCCTCTCAATGTCATCAACAGATGGAAAAGCCACACGTTTAATGACTTTTATTGATACAAGTTCACAGTCATTGTTACCTTGCAAAGTTAAATATGCTGTATATATGTAGGCAACCTTGAACTACTATTGAAGGTTACTAAGTATTATTGTTACGTTTTTCACCAAGGCAGACGACGTTGCTTTTTCTTGCAAATTCACTTTCTGTTTATTGAAACTAAGTAACAGTCAATGACTAGTAAGTAGGTGCTCTAAATCTAAGTCTGAAAACGTCAGTGCTCTGCTAATAGTGATCTAACGCTGCTTTTATGCTAATACTGCTACTCTCTCCATAGTCTGAGAGTGCGCCCCTACCGGTATTTATACACCTCTACGGTCACTCTCTGTTCGTCTCCAGTTGGCTATTTTCAGCCATGCACTATTTG